GGACTGGTGCAGGCTCTGGAACGGATTCATGGACCATAGTTTAGTATGTATTTCCCCCCTGGGAATGTATTTCCCCCCTGGCATCCATGAACAAATGCATTTAACCCATAACAAAAAAATGTCCTTCAGACTAGAGCCATGTCATTAAAATCCACCAATGAAATCCAAATGGCACAGTCCACAAAAGTCCACCAAATAATCCTCTATACAACATTTACCTTGACGAAGGCAAAGCAAAGAAACTACTAGGTCCATTGTATCGGTCAAGCTTTCTGTAACAATCCAGTGAGGCGAGTTGAAGTGAACCCAAGTGCAGTTTATTCCGAACATAAACAAATGCAATCCAAACAGCCTTGGCGTGACAAGAAACATGACATGACCATGAAAACAAACTCACCAACAGTAATACAGGGAACAAAGTTAAACAAAGGACAATGGTAACATGAGGGCTATACAAAGACACTAATCACTAACAAGAGACACCTGGAACAATCAAGACAAAAGGTGTGTTCGACTTGAAGCAGCGCTGTGCAGACCAATCGGCGTATGACATCAAAGTATGTTGACTGATGGACACTTCGGGCTCCCATGATCCTTTGCGCATATTCTTTGCATGATGACGGCGCCTCCGTGTGGGCACGTGATGATGACACAGAAGGGCACTTCAAGAAACAGTTGTTTGGTCCCCTACACCCTTCAACCCTTCGAAACTCTCACTCCGGAGGGTAAACCCTTTGAAGGGATTAGGGCATAGGGATGAGCCTTTCCGAATGAAACGCAGGGTAGATCACTTCAGGGAACAAGGGAAACACATGAGAGGAACATGAAACATGGCTAAATATCAAAATAAAAGACATGAAAACATGAACATGAACCAAAACCAACCGTGACACAAGCCTTCTAATGTAAATTCTAAAGTCTATTGTTAACTTAAATTAAAACCGTAAAAAAAAAAAAAATTTTTGCTACTTGAAATAAAATAAACATTAAATGAAATAATATATAAAAATGTAAACTTATTATATTTCAGCTGTTTGTCAAGACAACATTTTATTGAACTTGAAGTAGGACTACTAAAATAACTAAAAGTGAAATAAAAATAAAAGACATAATGTATGATATATTTAAAAAATAATTATAAAAATGACAAAAACAACAAAATTATTAAGTTATATAGTTAGTTAAGTTATATTATAGTGTATATGATGTATAGTATATTGTTTAATTAATAAAATGTACATATGCACATAAATGTATAAATATATTAATTCATTAGTGTGTGTATACATATATAATTTTTCATTAATAAAATGCATATATGACATTTAAATATTATATAAATTTTATATAAAAATACTAATACAAATAAATTAAATGTACACACACATAATACTTTATATTTTTAATTAATTAAAACGTTAACAAAAATATCTAGAATAGTATATTAATGATTCTAGAATAACTTTGTGTAAAAATAAAAATAAAAACTGAGCAATATGAGATCTGAAAATTATACATAGCTATGTTTGCATGTAATATACATCAGACAGTTTAAGAATGCTCTAAGTAGATGACCCATCTGTGGATGAAACTACAAAAACACTGAATCCAACGCTGGGCAAAAATACATTAAACATCTTATTTTATACATGAATAGAATACATGTGGTGTAATGCACGCTGTAAGGTGGCTCTGGAGGAGGATTGATTTGGGCCACAAACGGATCTGATCCCTGAGGAGTCCAGCATGATTCAGTCGTCAGGTGGATTAGACTCACACTCATTAGTGAGCAGTGTGTGCTGGGAAACAGATGCTGCTCTGCTGAACATGTGGACGCTTTACTGAAACACTGGACATGCAAATTAACATTCAAATACACACACACACACCAAGAGCGCCCTAGAGAGATGGGCTGTAGTTAATTACACACACTCACACTCCTGTGTGAAGAACACTTTAATTTACAGTTGTGTAGTGGATGCACACGCCACCATCTGAGCCCTGACAAACACACACTCACCCCTGATCCTCACACACTAGTCTAGTCAACTGTCTACACTGGGAACTACCTACTAAGGAGCCGTTCATGTAAAACATGGAGTGCAAGAGATGCAACCTTCATTAATTTAGTTGATAAGTTGATACTTTAATAAGCATACAAATACAACACACACAAAGAACTATTCTGTTTCTATCTCATCTTCTTTATGCTGGCTTCTCGTCTTCTCCAGGTCAGGACGTCCATATGAAGTAAAAGCCATCAGCCCAAATATCAAACTCAAGCCCAAAGCGTACATTATCTGACTGTTTCCTGCTCCATTTCTCACAGACACACACGCTGTTATTCATACAGTGAGAGTTGATTGTATTGCCTGAAAATTCAGTGTCGCTGCTGCTCTTATATAGTTTGGGAAGATGAGATTTCCTTGTGAAATTTTCTCACTATTTTATTGAGTGTTTCTTTTTCTTTATTGAGTGTGTTTTTTTTTTGGGATTGCAGCAGTATTTTAATATACATTTCATATTTCATCAGTTAAGCAATTTTCGTCCTTCCAAATTCTCCTTAGTTTAATAAAAATGGTGATATATTATTTCAATTGTAAAGTATTTTAATAGTAGTATTTGTTGTACTGAATTAAATTTATTAAAACACAGATCAGTGTCCAGATGATTTTCAACTTTGATATTACAGTAATGTGTTTAAAAAAACAAGCAAAAATGGTCAAACAAACAAACAAATAAATAAAAACATAAAGGTCTTAAATTATTATAATTGTAATATAAATATATTTTTTAAAATAAGAAAAATTAAAAAATAAATAAAATCACAAACTTCTAATAATAATAACAATTCAATATAAATGTATTAAAAATCAAATTTTACAAAAAAAAAATCTAACATTTTTAATTATTAAAAAAATAATAAATACTACTTTATAAAAAACATATCTATAAAAAGTTTATAGATAATATGTTTATAGATAATTAAGCCATTTTTTTCTTCTTCTTTGTCCCTGACATATCTTTATGACATTCACCCAAAGACTGTAAACCTGTTTACACTAAGCCGATATTCAATTCTTATTTAGGTGCATTAGAGATGATGGCCAGAGTCGCCTCTAATTTTCACTAATTTTGAGTTTGCTATTCACCAGAAGCAATGCTTGATGTGAACCATGCTTCCAACAAAACATCCCAAAACACCACACAACACATGTAATGAAAAACACACATAGTGCCTCTGGTCCTGGACATCTTGCGGTCTTCAACAGAAAATGAATTTTAAGGTTTATCAGCACACTACTGTAATGAGAGTCGACATTCATCAGTAGAACGTAAAGCCATCTGACCACCAACTGACTCAACAGAAGCAGGAAAACAACCCAAAACACAGGACTAAATCAACAACAGAACAGAACAGATCAACAGGGGTCATATGATGCGTTTTCATGTTTTCCTTTTTCTTAAGTGTGTTATGTAGCTGCTTGTGTATGTATGAGATCTGCAAAGTTACAAACCTCAAAGTCTCCCACAAAAGGATCGTTTCTATCTAAAATAGAAGGCTGATCCAGACGAAAAACGCCGAAAACACCTCGACCCTTACATACCTACATCACTATGTGGAAATATTTGCATAATGCCACCAAAATGTACACGCATAGAAAGAAGCTTCTGAAAGAAGATTCTGATTCATTCTGCTCAAGTTGTTCTTGCAAAGTTGTTTTTGATCGATTGGCTTGGTCATCTGCATTTTCAGAATCTGACCCGGGCTTGAACTGATATGGTAAAAGTGACAACATTATTAACTGTCTTTGGAAGCTGAAGCTTGCAATTATGGTAAGGGGTGTTACAATTCCAACACATGCTTGAAATGTTCGGCCAAACACAACTCACAGGGTCAGCTGGCCAATCAGAGCTCACTGCGCTTTTCGGAAGGAGGGGCTTTGTAGAAATTGATGCGTTTTAGAAAGACTGGGCATAGAAGAGCTACAATAATGCAAAGTATGTGAAAAGTAATGTGTTTTTTGAAAATTGAATCAAACATTCTATTACACCCAATACACAAAATAATGACCTTTGAAAATAGCATCATACGACCCCTTTAACAGAAGAAAACAAACTTTCTGGAGTGAAGAAATCAGAGTCCTGACTCACCAAGATGCTGTGATATCACCTTAAGAGAGCAATTCACACCAGATATATCAAGAAAACTGCTCAAATGAAACCACTTTGGTGCTAAATTCCTCCTGACCATGTGCAGGTCTGATGCACAATTACAGGAAACCTTGTGTGGAGGCTATTGCTTCCAGAAGTAAGACAGAATCTCTTACAGCAATTACAAATAAGAAAAATGTTCTGAATTTTTACAATAATTTTGTAATAATTTTTGAAGACAAAAATTATTACAATATCTAAACATTTATCTTAAATCAAGATACATTTACTACAAAAAAAAAGAAAAAAATCAAGAAATAAATATCTGCCAATGGGGTTTTCCTTTTGAATTAAGTTTATTTTTCTAATCCCATTTAAGTATTTTTTTCTTGTTTTAAGCATAAACTCACTTCATTTTGATAAAAAAAAAAATCAGAAAAAAATTAATATCTTATGTCTTTTGATTCTCAAGTGAATGCATCTTAATTTTCTCTAATAATATTTATATATCTGTGCTGGAAAACAAGACAAAAATACTAATTAAGATTTTTTTTTTTTTTTGCAGTGAGCCTGATTTTTGTTATTTTGTTGTAAAATGCAATTATATTATCACCCAGCTTTTTATATAAATTAAATATACACTTATAAATATCAACTGTTTGACTGCTTCTAACGTTACAAAATGTCAAATAGTTTATCATCCTGGTCTAATCTGCTAAATGCGACTGGATGTCATGAAGATATTAAGATATTATAAACATTAACATAATTTGATGTTTTTCTGTAAAGTGCTATACAAATAGATTTGTACTTCAATAAATGACACATTTTTGTTTGTTTCTTACCTTAAACTCCGTCTCTATGTTGGCGAGTCGTGCGAGTTCATTGCTGAGCTCTAGTGCCGTCAGTACAGGATCTTCACTGGACAGCGACAGGTAGGTGGCGCTAGCGAGCCCTTTGTACGCGTTCATGCGCGATCTGGAGTGACTGAATGAGTCACGTTTCTGTTTCTCCGTACACTCGCAGCACTTGCAGAAGTAGTCGTGCGGCCGCTCGATCCTGGCGCCCTTTATCAGCAGGATGTGTACGATTTCGTACTCCTGACAGTGCGCGGCCAGAATCACCGGCGTCACGTCGTGCGAAAAACGCGTCCCGTCCTCGTCATAGGCGTAGAAGTCGTCGTCCCTCAGTTCCTGCTCCAGCGGGCTCAAAGTCAGTCTCAAGCCGCCCGCAAACACCGGATGAGCCAAAATGGCCTCTACGATTCGCACGTAACCTTTGCTGATTGCCAAAAGAAGTGCATCACCAATGCGCGCCATCCCGTCTTTCTTCAGCAAAAGCTCCGTGACCTCCAGGTGTTCGTTGCCGACTGCTAACTGCAGCGCGTTTTGCCCCATGTAGTCCACGCAGTTGAAGTTAAGCGTTTTGGACTCGTCCAGCATCTTGCGGACGATGGGAATGTTGCCGTACTCCGCTGCATCGAGGAAACGTTCCTCCTCCGCCGTGAGGCTGGTGCCGCGTTCATTGAACATGTAGGCAGGGCCTCGGATGGCCTGCCGACGGCCCTTCTCTCGCAGGGTGGTGTGCCTGCGATGCATGACCTCTGACCTGAGAGAAAACAAAAAATCAGTCATGAAATGGTTTTCGCAACCCACATGTGATGTATTTCAGTGAGAAACTGAATATTCAATTGGCTAAAAGTTGATTTTATCCATTAAAACATTAAAAAGTTTAAATTTTTATGTTTACAAAGAAAAAAAATCATAACTCAATATAACATGCACAATAGGAAGATAAGGAAATATAGGCAGTTTTTCTTAAGTATTGAATGTGTTCTTAACTAAAATAAAAAAATATATATATTTTTTAATAAAATTATGTTAATTGAAATAAAATAGATGTTAACAGAAATAAAACAGAGTATTAAAAATTGTCTATTTCAGTTAATTGCCCAGGTAACATTTTTAATTTTCATTTAGTTCAAGTTGAAGCACTAAAATAACTAAAACTAAAACTGAAATGAAAAGGGGAAAAAAAACTCAATAGTAAATAGACATATTTAAATAATAATAATAATGTTTTAAACACAAAATTACTAAAACTTCAAAATATTAATAAATACTATGATAATAAGGATACTAAAATAACATTGATTTTAACATCGGGAAAATGTCACAAACTAGCTGTAAAAGGTTGCTGCTAAATAGCTTAAATGAGTGTGTTTAATTCAACTAGTCTAATCTGTTCTGCTCACTGCACAGCATGAGATTCAATCAATAACTGTCTGTCAATAGACTGATGGTCTGAAATGGCTAATCACAGCTCTCCTTTTAGAAGTTGCTAAATTGGCCTTTCGCCACATGAGACAATCTGATCTCTGATTGGACCAATAATCAATGACATCAGAGATCAGCTCGGGGCTGTAGTGCTTTCAGTGGATCACACACAGACAGACATGTGATGTTCAACAGTGGGAGCAAAACCTAAGAAACTGCCACAATTTCAACACACACATTTCAGTTTTAGAGATTTCTAGATAAGAGTCTGGGTGATAGCAGTCTTATTTTCCATCGTTAAAACACAAGAGGGTGAATATATTAAACTTTAAAAATGACATGATGATTGCTGCATGCAAATGCTATAGGTATCTGTTTGCAAAATCATAACAATTTTAGCCCTCTTGATCACAGTTTTGTTTAAAATTGCACACGTATGCCTCAAGAGAAAATCCATTTATTCAGTACAGACGATTTTTACACACACAAACTGCTTATACAGCATAGAAACAAAAATATACACAAACAAACACATGAAACATACATGTGCAGTGAACAGATCAATATGTCATCTCGTTCATGCTGTCTGCTCTGAACATTTGATTTCCAAATGCTGGCAAACTCTCTGTGAGCGAGATATTTCATACTGCAGCAAATTACAACCTGCTATAAAACAAAAACACTCTTAGCTTTTACACACACACACAACTCCAGAGAGAGAATCCAAAATTTTCTGGATAGACACATCAATGCTGCATATGTTTTTTAGTTAGTGATGTTTGTTAAGTCAAGAATGCCCTAGCAACCAACTAAGAGTGTCCCAGCAATGCCCCAGTAACCACCCTGAACACCCTAGCAATCACTTAGGAATGCCTTAGCAATGTCCTGGCATCCACTTTGGACACCCTATCAACTATTTGAGAATGCCCTAGCAACACTCTAACAACCTCCTAACCCTTTGACACATACGATCACATCGGTGTGATTAGAACGTTCAGTGCATCACGTAATCAACTGTGTAGGTAACTATAAAGTTTACTCTATTCTTCTCCCAGTTCACGGGAAACTTACTTAAATGTCTTTTGGGAGGAGAGGATGAATTTGCATGTTGTAAATCCCACAGCTCAGATTCACCGCGAACTAACATGGCTGCACCCATCGCCCATTATAGATCAACTAACATGGTCATTATAAAGGTGTTTAAACTACCAAAAACATTTACTTGCACATATCTGAGAATTGGAATATCATATATCTCATAATATAATTGACGCTGATAATATAATTGTTTGTGAATATTTCGAATAAAAAAGGAAACATTAAATAAAAGCTATACATCACTCATACAGAGTTATAATGGCTGCAGTGTGTCACGTGACAAGCATGACACGTCGCCATGGAAATAATAAGGTGATACATTCTAAAATAATGGTCGCCTAAAAAAAACTCACTCTGGGGGGTCAGCTAGAATATTTTAAATTTACATGTGAAAGGGTTAAGCATGTGCTAGCAACACACTAACAGCCACCTAAGAGTGTCCCAGCAATGTCCTAGTAACCACCCTGAACACACTAGCAACCACCTGAGAGTCCCCTAATAACATCCTGGCAACTAACTAGCAATACTCTACCAACAGCTAAGCAACCACCCACAATTTCTTCAGAAAAAGTAAAATTGTAGAGTAGCTGTGCAGTAATGTTTAGTCAGTCAGGTGGGCCAGCGGTCACCTGACACTCTGCTCATTAGAGAAGAATAAAAGAGTGACGCTATAAAGAGACAGCAGAAAGAAGATTACACAGCGCTCTGACACATCAAGCGCAGAAAAGAGTGGCTGAAAATGGAACCCATTCAAATAGCGCAACTTCCCTGAGGGACATGAAGGAGTGTCACACTCAAGAGAGAGAGAGTGAGAGAGAGAGCCGTGCTGAGCACAGTGTGTGTTGTGTGTGTGTGAGGTCATTAAGGTCCTCGAGATACATCTGTCTCTGACTCTCTCACACGGTTACAGATGCACAAACTGCATGCATTTGCGTTAAGTCTTTGTCTGATTAAATGTGACCGATATCTGTGGCACCACCTCTAGCACCAAACTGATTTGCAAAAATAACTAGAATCTTCCATTTTCTGAGGAAAATGTGAACATTGTTTAACTTTGTCCATGCAATACATGATTAATTTTATAAACCGATGTCAAAAAAAATAAAATAATAATAACCTTGTGTCACTTTGTTACTGGGGTGTTCTGGGTGGTTATTAGGTGGTGATTTACTGATTCCAGAGCCCAACTCCAAGTCTATATGATATTCTGGTCTCTAGATAGGTGTTTTTGCACAGATAAAGCATTTTTTTTTTTTTTGGTGCGATGCATTTTGCCTGTCATGTTTCACCTACTGTGGCGGAGACGAAGGGCATTAACATTCAAAAGTCTTTATTTCATCAAACAAGGAACATACAGGCAGGAACTCACACGTAGGACGAGGGTTGACGTACAATTCCGGACAAAGGGAAACTCAGAAACACAGGGTTATTATAATCAGAACGAAACAAGGAAATCAATGGGACACAGCTGGAATCAAATCAAACTAAATGGGCACAGGAACAGGAAAATAACCAAATATGAGCATAAAGACACAAGAGGGAAAACTAGGAGTACATAGGGAGGAATACAACAACAAAATGGGAACACAAGTAGGGAGGAATACAACAACAAAATGGGAACACAAGTCTGACATTACTCACCCCTCCCAGAAGGCGCGTCCTCATGCCTCACAACATCCAACGGGGAGGGGGGGTGGGCGCCTAACGGGGGGTGAGCGTTGTCCGTTCCGGGACCCCTGGCAAATCTGGCAGTTCAGGGCGCAATGGCGGAGCAGGCAGCGTGGGGTGCCATGGTGGAGCAGGCAGCGCAGGGAGCCATGGTGGAGCAGGCAGTCCAGGAGGCCATGGCGGAGTAGGGAACTCAGGGGGCCATGGCGGATCAGACAGTTCAGGAGGCCATGGCGGATCAGACAGTTCAGGAGGCCATGGCGGAGCAGTCTCTGAGGCCATGGCCCCAGCCTCTATGGCTGGAGCCCTATAACCTCCCCCCAAAAAATATTTGGGGAAAATAATGGGTTCCGAGGCCCTTCGTGGGCTAGACATAGGGATCGCAACCCTCTCGGGGCCTAATTCAGAAACAGGAGCCCTTCTTGGGCTAAATTCAGGAACAGTAGCCTGTGGGCTGAACTCAGGAACTGTAGCCCTCCGTGGGCTAGACTCAGGAACTGGAGCCCTCTCTGGGCTGGATGCGGGGACTGGAGCCCTATATTGACGCTGGTCTGGGGCTAGAGCCATCTCTCGACTCTGGTCAGGGGATAGAGCTGATACTGGAGTGAACTCAGAGGTTGGAGTTGACACTGGAGCGAGCTCTGTGGCTGGAGCCGACACTTGAGCGAGGATGAGGATCGAGAGCCATCCTTTTCACCTCATCCTCCTCTTTTGGTTACGGGTGAATAGGGCGGCCGGCGGGCTTGACAACGGCGTGGGCGAAGCATGCAGCGGTTTCCATGCAACCGGGGGAAAACAAAAGAAGACACTTTCAAAAAACGTAAAACAAAACAGGGAGAAGGAGCGTCGCTTACTACTGTCTTAGGTCCGGAATTCTGTCACGTTTCGCCTACTGTGGCAGAGACGAGGAGACGAAGGGCAGTAACATCCAAAAGTCTTTATTTCATCAAACAAGTAACATACAGGCAGGAACTCACACGTAGGACGAAGGTTGACGTACAATTCCAGACAAGGGAAACTCAGAAACACAGGTTTATTATAATCAGAACGAAACAAGGAAATCAATGGGACACAGCTGGAATCAAACTAAATGGGCACAGGAACAGGAAAATAACCAAATATGGGCATAAAAACACAAGAGGGAAAACTAGGAGTACATAGGGAGGAACACAACAACAAAACGGGAACACAAGTCTGACAATGCCAGGGTTTCCCAAACAGGGTTTGTGAGTTGATGAAAATCTGATAGATAATTGTATCAAATGTAAAATTCAAAGAAATAAATGGGGGTGCGCAATAATCATGATATAGCTTAGTGTGATTACCAAATCAAAGGCTGAGATTTAAATAAATAACTGTATAACATGAAAATAAAAGCTTGAGGATTTGAAACGTTCGCTTTTGATCATTTGGAAGTGAAAAATTTAAGACAAATATTAGAATTGTAACTTGTAATGTAAAATAAACGTATTATTACAACAGTAATATATTTCTGTGATTTGTTCTTTTTGTTAAACTATTGTTTTATTATTTTAAGCTAAAATTTTGATGATGATGATGATGATG